GAAAAATGCAAAATAGGAAAACACGTATGATAATATTTTTAATATGGATCATTTATTCATCTATGAAATGAGGATAAAATTGAACCTAGTAACAGAGTTGTAAGAAGTTAAATAATAAGTGCTTAGACAACTGGTTCCATTTTAATTGCCTTTATACCTTTCAAAATATTCTGATGTCCTGCTTACATTTCAGAATGAGTTAAATCAGAATATCTGTTTGAGTCCACTCGTGGTTCCGATGTGCAGCCAAAGTTGAGAACCATTTCCTTAGAATATTGGCAATGTCTTTGTAAACAGGGAAGGGTGGAAGGGTGGAAGGGAGGGCTGGGCAATGGGGAAAAATAAGAACCAAGATACATCTCGTAAAGGTACAAGACCCCAGTGATGAATGTAACTGTACTGTATACCTAAAATTTACCAATAAACTTAATAAAGATAAGTAAATAAATAAAGTCACATTGCAAGAAAGCAAAACAAAAAAAGAATATTGGCAGGAACTTTAAATGTTCCATTACTGTTATTTATTGTCACGGTCATTAACATATACTCACCATATTAAAAATGCAAAATCTGAGACTATTTGCTTCAGAATTCAGATTTTATAGAAACTTAAAATATAGCAAATAAAACTTGTTTTATTACTGTATTTGCATGATTCTATTCCCCTGCACATGTGTACCCCCAAAACAACTGTCACGAATTTGGTAGAAATATTTTCCTGGAAATGTTCCCATAATATAAGTGTCTTTGAATTGATTTGATTTTGAATTGATTCAAAACATTTACAGCAATGTTTCTCAAATAAAAGCACTCTGGTGTGTCCTCATCCACCTTATTCACAGGACCTGGCATTATACAACTGCATCTTTGAATTTTTGATTTTGAATTGATTCAAAACATTTACAGCAATGTTTCTCAAATAAAAGCACTCTGGTGTGTCCTCATCCACCTTATTCACAGGACCTGGCATTATACAACTGCTGGCTCTTCCTCCAAAGTCAAGATAACCATAAAAGTAAATGTTTTGTTATCAATTCAAGGCATTAAGGTAGCCATGATGGTGCAACTAAAAACACAAAATAGGATTTCCAGAACTGCTTCAGAAAGTGTCAAGAACAGTGGAGTAAGGATGTTCAAAGCAAGGTGGTACATTTAAGGGGTATTAATGGCAATGCACCCTTTGCTATAATTTTTTAATTTAAACATTGCCCACATTTTTATCATACTTCATGTGACACAAGTGAGTGTATCTATAAGACAGATATGTGCATTAACACTTACATATATTATATATTTTTGAAATACAGTCATTTGGCTCATAAGACCAATAGACATTTGATTTTACTATTAGTGGCCTACATTTGTTTTCCCAACAAAAATCACACACAGACAACTGCTCTCTCCTCTTACAGTCGAGAGATAAAAATCACAAATATTCCTGACATATGTCAAGTAAGAGTCATTTCACGGTAACTGCTACATGGCACAATATTTGCATATTTCAGATTTCCAAAGTACGGTGGAGAAAAGGCATTAGTATTCATAGAAAGCTTTACAGATCACAATATTAGTCCCAGAAAGAACCCGCTGCATCACTTGGCCCATTCTAATTGACAGGTGACCTTATTAAGTCCCAAGAGATGAAATCAATGATTCTGCTTCTGTTTACTCACTTAGGACAAAATAAGCCCTAAAAAATAAATCATTAAACTCAGGGAAAGAGCCCTGAGGCAGGATTTAGGAGACAAAGGTCTAAATTTTACATCTTTCACATACAGTACTAAATGTAGAATGTGTGCGTATCTTGATGCTTTTCCGATGATGTTCCTCACCTAGAAATCCCCCAGAAGACTGGCAATCAGTAAAAACTCAGACATGACATATTAATCCGAATTGGATGGTTACAATAGAACAGTTAATGAAATATAAGAGCAATAAATATTTGATAATTTTTATTCAATTATATGACAAAAGGGTTGTTTTTTTGTTTTTGTTTTTTTTTGGTCCTGGGGATAAATCTCACAGCACTTGTGAGGCAGGTGCAGTGCCACTTAAGTCTAAATCCCTGGCTGTCAAAGTCTTTTTGGTCCAAGGAAACTTGAGCATGAAATGACTTGAAATCCTAAATGTGAAATTCCAAAAGGTGTTTCCATTCACACAGTAAGATTTATCTTCCCCTTCTCTTTCTTGGTCCTTTAGAAGTTTCATTATTTGAAAAGTCTGCAATTTTTTGTAAAAATTGAATTATAGAGCCTCTAAGAGCAAAATAATAATTCGTTAAAATCCCAAGCCATAGAAATATGCAAGCCCTGTTGTTTCTTGCCTCTCATCCTCAACAGCAGTAAGACAGGAAAATATTGCTTATGCTGTGTCCCTGACAATTAAGAAAGTGCCTAATAGTTAATGGGTTTTTGCTTTTGTTTTTATGGCCTGTTCTATGCTAAACATAACAAAAGCTCTAGGGAATCAGAAAGAAATAAGACTCTGGGCTAGGGATTTAGCTCAGGAGTTCCACTGCCTGCCTTGGAAGCACAAGGTCCCGAGTTCAATCTCTGGTACAGAAAGAAAAAGAAATAAGACTCTGTCATTTTTCTCCAAATATCTGGAATTTTTTTTTTTTTGTACCAGGGATTGAACTCAAGTCTTTGTGCTTGATAGGCAGGCAGTGGAACCACTGAGCTAAATCCCTGGCCCTGCAATCTATTTATATAGGGAAAAAATTAAATGTTCTTTAAGGAATCCAGGGAAATTCACAACTCCTGATCATAGGATATTCTCATGAAATAGTATGAAACCACTTTGTTAGGATTAATAATAATGTTAATTTCTCTATATTTTACCCTTTCAAAATGTATTCATCACATATCATGACCAAAGTAGTTTCCATTTTCTGCTAAATCCTTCTAATGCATTCACATCAACTAGAGATGAACTCAGGCACCTCGATTCAGAGCTACCAAAACTTGCCCCACATTGTACAAGATAATAAAGCACAAAAGATTAACTTAAATTGTTGGCCTCAGAGTTCTGTAACTAATATCCCTACACTTCATACCCCTACACTTTAGAAAGTTTAACACAGAGATATAGAGGTTTCCATAAAAGAAAAATGTCCTTGCCTGGGGTAACCTGGGAAGTGAAAAGGCAGATGGGATGTCAAGAGAAAAGAATGGCCAGGTAGGTATCTTATGTCTGTGGTCTAGATGTCTGGATACAGCCAAGACTTGGACACAAAACACATTAACATATTTTGAGCACCAGGATCCAGACTGAGAGTTACACCCAGAACTTTTTAGTAGTCAACCATAAGGGAAGTAGCTAAATATATTTGAAATAACTAGTGCTCTCAGATTTTAAAAAAGCAGTAAAATTTTCTGCTTCAAGATGTCAAATAAAAATCTTCCTCCATTAAGAGTAACACCTGTCTGATGATTGCCTCAATTATACTTATCATAAATTCCCACACCATCCACAGCTCCATTTGCTTCTGAGACCATGGTAGGCTTGCACAGATGTGCCTTTCCTCGTGATAAAAATGATCATGGTACTGGGCCGTGCACATGACAACAATCTAGCCCCAAATGGAGACCAACTCTAAGATGGCAGATGACACAGCCAGAGTCTACCAGAAAATCCAAGAAGCTGGGTACAGCCATGATGAAGTGGCTATGGAGATGTCTATGAAGCTACAGCCTCGGAGGAGACTGAAACCAAACACTTAATGTTTAGTTTTGAGCAAGTATGAAACAGTGGGTTCAATGGAAAATTTAATTAAAAACCAGAGTACTACCAGGCCACTATGAATCTACTTTTCTCATAGGCCTACTACATAGATAATACTGATTTCATCCCTTGAGCCTTCCAAATGTCACACAACTCTTATTGTAAACTACTGCATACTGGAACTGGAAAAAGAAGTGATTCTGAGAAATGAAGTCCCTAACCATACCAGTTAACATAACACAATTTTTGAACTCAAAATACTGAATCCCCATCCTAGCCATGGGCAAGAACCAAGAACATAATATGAAAATAGTATATCATGTGAGAGTATCCACTTCCAAAATCTTTGTACTTATTAATATCTGGTGAAAGTACTACACATAAAAACCTTTTGATAGTAAAAATTGATATTTTCAAAAACTATACCTACATGTAGTGGTGCGTGCCTGTGATCCAAACCATGTAGGAGGTTGACTACCAGTTAACATAACACAATTTTTGAACTCAAAATACTGAATCCCCATCCCAGCCATGGGCAAGAACCAAGAACATAATATGAAAATAGTCTATCATGTGAGAGTATCCACTTCCAAAAATCTTTGTACTTACTAATATCTGGTGAAAGTACTACACATAAAAACCTTTTGATAGTAAAAATTGATATTTTCAAAAACTATACCTACATGTAGTGGTGCGTGCCTGTGATCCAAACCATGTAGGAGGTTGAGGCAGGAGGATTGAAGTCTGAGGCCAGGATGGGCAACTAGAAGACTCTGCCTCAAAAATAAAAATAAAATGGGCTGGGCCGGGGATTTAGCTCAGTGGTTCAGTGGCCTGCCTTGCAAGCGCAAGGACCTGAGTTCAATCCCCGGTACCAAAAATAAATAAATAAATAAAATGGGCTGAGGGTGCAGCTCAGTGGTATAGCACATGCCTACCTCTAGGCAAGTACAAGGCTCTAGGTTCAATCCCTAGTACCACCAAAAGCAAAAAGCAAAACAAAAAACTACAGGTTCTCTTAGTTTACAAAAAGGAGGAAGAAAACAAAGAGGAGGAACTTCTACCCTAAAAGGGTAGGCAACTTCTAGTATCTGCTATCACAGACCAAAAAAAAGCTAACAAAAATCAAAGTATCCATACTATAACTATATAACTACAGACTTCAGAGAATAAGAGTTGGAAAACAATTTTTTTTTTTTTTTTGGTACCGGGGATTGAACTCGGGTCCTTGGCGCTTGCAAGGCAGGCCTCCAAACCACTGAGCTAAATCCCCGGCCCTGGAAAACAATTTTTTAAAAGACCTGCATATGGAAAATCCATCCTTCAGGCAGGCACCATGGTGCCTATAGTCCTAGCTACTTGGAAAGCTGAGGCAGGAGAATTACTTCTGTCCAGGAGTTCAAGGTCAGCAAGACCGTGTCTCAAAATATATACAGTAAGTCCCTGACTTATGAACAAGTTCCATTGTGGATTTATTTGTAAGCCAACATCTTATACAGTATACACTGTGAAAGTTTGTAACTGAAATGTTTGGAAATCAAGAACTTCCTGTATATATTTCAAATAAACTTTAGGTCTAAAAGGCTTTATAAAACTGTAAATAATCAATCCCTGGTTCCAGAGAAAAAAAACCTGGAAATAACACTTAGATGTGAGCCAAAACAAACACATTTCATACTACAAAGTATCTAACTATAGGTGAAAAAGTAAATTTATCACCTTTAATCTCATTAAAGACAGTAAAAATAAATGAGTCAGCAGACTGCCCTACAAATGAGGAAGTGATCTTTTCTGGTATAATTTTCTTATATGTAGTCAGTGAAGTAATGTTCAGGAAGGCTCTACCACATGGTTTACATATACAAGGTTTCACATAGATAACTTCAAGTCTTCAAAAGAACGAGTGACTATCTCCTACTTTCTCACATTCATAAGGTGTCTCCACCGTGTGAAACTTCACAAGTTGCTGAAGATTAGAAAAATCCTTGCAGATATTCCCGTATTTTTTACGTTCATATGTTTTCTCTGGTGTGGATTTTCACGTGTCTTCGAAAGTAGGCTGGACAAATAAAGGCTTTCCCACATTCCTTACATTCATATGGTTTCTCTCCTGTGTGACTTCTCACATGTCTTCGAAAGGATGAGGGGCAACTGAAGGCTTTTCCACATTCCAGACATTCAAAGGGTTTTTCTCCAGTGTGCATTCTGGCATGGACAGTGAGGTATGAAGAATGTCGAAATGCCTTCCCACATTCCCTACATTGATATGGTTTTTCCCCAGTGTGTGTCCTCATGTGGATGCTCAGGGCTGAGAAATAAATAAAGGCTTTCCCACATTTCTTACATTCATAAGGCTTCTCTCCAGTGTGAGTTCTTCTGTGAACTGTAAGATGGGAGGAACTAATAAAGGCTTTTCCACATTCCTTACACTGATAAGGCTTCTCTCCAGTGTGAATTCTGATATGTATTATAAGGTGAGAGGAAGAACTAAAAGCCTTCCCACATTCCTTACCCTCATAGGGTTTCTCTCTGCTTTGATTTTTCACATGAGTATTCAGAGAAGTGGGAAGATAGAAGGCTTTCCCACATTCCAGACATTCATAGGGTTTCTCTCTGCTTTGATTTTTCACATGAGTATTCAGAGAAGTGGGAAGATAGAAGGCTTTCCCACATTCCAGACATTCATAGGGTTTCTCTCTGCTTTGATTTTTCACATGAGTATTCAGAGAAGTGGGAAGATAGAAGGCTTTCCCACATTCCAGACATTCATAGGGTTTCTCTCTGCTTTGATTTTTCACATGAGTATTCAGAGAAGTGGGAAGATAGAAGGCTTTCCCACATTCCAGACATTCATAGGGTTTCTCTCCAGTATGTGTTCTCACATGTACAGTGAGTTTGGAGGACTCACTGAAGGCCTTCCCACACTCTTTGCATTCATAAGGCTTCTCTCCAGTGTGAATTCTGATATGTATTATAAGGTGAGAGGAAGAACTAAAAGCCTTCCCACATTCCTTGCATTCGTATGGCTTATCCCCACTATGAATTCTTTTGTGCTTGGAGAGTGATGAAGAACAACTAAAGGCCTTCCCACATTCCTTGCATTCATAAGGTTTATCTCCACTATGAATTCTTTTATGTTCTGTGAGGTATGAAGAAGTACTGAAAGTTTTCCCACATTCCTTACATTCATAGTTTGCCTTTCCACTGTGAATCTTCATGTGTGCCCTAAAGAATGAGGAACAACTGAAGACCTTGGTACATTCTTTACATTCGTAGGGCTTCTCTTCAGTGGGGGTCTTCATATGCTTCTTAAAACAAGCAAGGAAATGGAAGGCTTTCCCACATTCCTGACACTGGTAGGGTTTGCTTCCAGCATGAGATCTGACGTGATTCTTAAGGGATGAATGAAACATGAAGGCCTTTCCACACTCACGACATTCATAGGATTTTACTTCAGTAGTTCTCTTGAGCACATGAAGATGTGGAATTTGTTCACACTGATTTTCTTCATTACATTCATAGACATTCTCCACCATGTGACTTAAAAGTAAAAGACACAACATTAGTAATGAATATTTACCACTTTCTGCAAGTACATTTTCTTTCCCATAAACTTATAAGCTAAAAGTTCTCATAGAAGGCTCTATGATAGCCAATACTGTCAACAAGTTTTCTACTTATGGGATTTTCCTGATAATTATTTACAAATGAAATATGCATTCAAATATTCTACATCTGAGTATCATCTGTGGCAAAAAGTCTCCAGACAAAATTCTTTGTGAAGTCACAATTTCAGACTTACGCTTACATATTTACAAACTTCTGAAATCTCAGCCATTTAAACATTCTCCCCTGAGGTACTACTTTCTCTTCTTTAAAGAGCACTCACCTCAAATGTTTCTCATGGCTTTTGTTCTGCTCATCAACACAATGGGGCTCCCAATTTTCATGTAAAATAAAGGAACAGGAACCAGTTCTTTCGAATCTTACTGTTTTCTGTTCCCTGGATATTTTTTCTCCATTGATATCTTGAAAAGCAACTAATTCGCTAGTATTGAGTTGAGTCTCAAAACCTGAAACTAAAAAGTAAAGGCATCAATAAGTAAAGAACTTTCAGCAGAGTGGTTGTTTCAAGACTGATTTTAATAAACACAAGAGTCAAAATGATAAGCAATCCATTAGGAAATCCTTCTATGAAGACTGACACTGCTGGTGACATAAGAAGATTACAAGTACAAACAGAAAAATGCCAATTACCGAATAATAATTTTAAAAGATTAAAATAGATATGGAAGTCTTTGCCAAGAACAAGGAAAATATGAGAATGATAAAAACTCAAAATAATAATCAGAGGTATATACGGGAGATCAGCCTTCTTAGACAAAGTTTTGTTTTGTTTCAATTTGATTTTTTTCCCCAATCAAGAGAGTTTATCCCAATGGTTCGTACCTTCTTGGTGCTCTTCCATACAAGTGCCCTGGATAAGTCCTCCCTTTACCTTCAGCAGGTCTTCCTCTTGTCCCCACTGGGAGATCAGATGAGGAGGTATGGGTACCTGGTACCCTGCACAGGTGGAAACACATATCATGAAGGGAAACAATGAAGAACACAAACATTTCCATAAGACAGGACAGAAATATTAGTTTTTTGATACTTTAAAGATGTGCAAGTCAATGCAACACAATGTCAAATCTATAAAAGAATTTCAAAAAGTAAAAGAAAAGGATGATATGAGGGAATAAAGATAGACTGTGAGACCCAAAACTAATCTGACATTCACCACAATATTATTACTAGCTACTTCGATATAGCTGAGATATATTGTGTAGTAGACATCCCTGCCCAGTATTAGCAGGCTATAAATAGCACAAGCTTCTTGCCCCTTCACAATTTGGTTGTATTATTAGGGGTCAGACCAAAGCTTTATGTGATTCAAATGGGCATGTCATATAGCAGAGTTGGGAGGGTATAGCTCCTCAGCTAATAGCTGCCAAGGAGACTTAGGTCCTGGTCCATAAAGTGGCAGGGCCCTGATGAGTTAACATCCAGCCGAGGTCAACTTGACTCCAACTAAATTCTTTCCCTCTGAATGAAACATCTGTTCCCTTTTAAACATCTCTGCCTCCCTTTTACAGTCCTGCCTGATACCTGCTTTCACCAAGTGTCCCAAAGTTACCCTGCTCTCCTCCTTCCCACGTTTGGTATAAATAAATTCTAGATGTCCTTGGTGCCTTTTGTCTTTGCTGTCCAGAGCAGCTTAGATCAACCCCAAGACCCAGCTTTCTCCCTAGTCATGTTTCTGTCTTCTGCTCTTGTCAGCTTGTGTTATACTGTCTCAAAGGATATTGAGACCGATGGATAGGGCTCTCAAAAACATTCTCTGTAATATTGTTTTCCTGGTCAACATACATAATGACACAGAAGACCAACCTTGGACAATGCTGTTTTAAGACCACGCTAAAATGTAGCAAAATTAGAGTACTTCATAATTCTATTCTAGGACAGATAAAAAGAAGGCACTATACAACCAACAAGACATCCCTATACCAGTGGTGTCGAACCTATGTTGCTGCTGTTTGTTATCATTGAAAGTTCTAAAGCATTAACCATCACTGCCTTTCTGTAAGCATTCAATTTATATACACTGTACCCTCAAAAACTGAACACTGTCCCCCCAAAATCCATGTCCCAATAGACCAATGGAACAGAATGCAAAGGCCAGAATTAGATACACATAAATATGGCCAGGCCTCTGCAGTCATGGATTCAACCAACCACATATCAAAAGCATAATGGAAAAAAAATGCATCTATACATGTATAGACTTTTCTTTTTGTCATTATCCCTGTTCAATACAATATAATGAGTATTAACTTAGCACTTAACATTGTATTAGGTATCTTAAGTCATCTAGAAATGATTTTAAATATATGAGAGGAGGTGTATAGGTTGTATACATATACCATGCCATTTTAAATAAGAGATCTGAGAACCCACAGAGATAGGTACGGGGGTGGGGTGAATCCTGGAACCAATACCCTAAATACCAAGGAATGACTATAGAGTCAACTAACCTTGTGAAAATAGAGCAAAACCAATCCAATAGAGAAAAGATAGATTTCTTCCCACTAACAGTACTGGAATAAGTACCATCTCCATGAAAAAAAAGTTTTCACAAACATTAACTCAGAATGGATCACAGACCTAAATGCATAATATAATCTTAGAAGACAGAGGAAAAAATCTAAATGACCTTGGATTTTTAGCTATGACCTCAGAAAGCGGGATCCATGAGGTCCAAGGATTTAGCTCAGTGAGTCTAGCGCCTGCCTCGCAAGCACAAGGCCCGAGTTCTATCCCCAGTACCAAAAAAAAAAAAAAAAAAAAAAGCAGGATCCATGAAATAAAGATATGATACACTGAGATCATTAATATGAAAATTTTCTGCTCTGCAAAAAGATAGTGAAAAGAAAAACCATAGCCTGAAAGAAAACATTTGCAAGAGATATATCTGATAAGAGACTGTTTTCTTTTCTTTTTTTTTTGGTACCAGGGATCGAACTCGGGTCTTTGTGCTTGCAAGGCAGGCAGCGGAACCACTGAGCGAAATCCCCAGCCCAAGAGACTGTTTTCTTTATCTGTTGCATAAAAAACTCTAAAACTCAACAATAAGAAAACCAACTGATTAAAAATATAGGCCAAAGTCCTACATAGACACCTTATCAAAGAAGATATACAAATGAGAAAAATTTGAAATGCTGTTAGGAGGCAGAGATTATATGAGAACTCCTTCTAATTTACACTCAATCTTTCCATGAACCTGAAATTACCCTAAAGATTAAAATCTATTAATTAAAAAAAAGAAATGTCTACCCGGAACCTCATAATGTTACCTTCTTCAGAAGAAAAAAGGTCTTTGCAGATATTATCAAGTCAAGATGAGGTTATTTAGGGTTAGTGTGGATCCTAAATCCAATGACTGGTATCACACTAAGGAGAAAGATTTGAAACAAGCACACAACAAAGAATATGACGGAGGCAGAGACTGGAGTAATACATCTATAACCCAAGAAACATCAAGGACTGCTTGTAGTAACCAGGATCCAGTAAGAGAAGGGAAGGACATTTTCCCTAGAGCCTTCAGAGGGCACAGCCCAGCTGACACCTTAATTTGAGACTTCCAGCATTCAGAAATATAACAGAATTAATTTTTGTATTTCTTAATGACCAGTGTGTAATATTTTGTTGCAGAAGGCCTACGAAACTAATACTTTCTGCTTCCATAGACTCATCCCCAAATTGCTCAACCAAAGCACAAATCCAACAATAGGTACTTTCCAAAACCTTCTTACTAAGATGTCCCACAATTCCCCACGAGGGATGCCTTCCCATAATGCACTGTGAAATAAACCAAACATCTTTTAACTATAGGTATGTTCCTGGTAGTCTTTGGGCAAAGGCTGTTCACACCAGTAAAATCCTCAGAAGATCATAAATGAGTTTCCTGTACCCAAATATGACTCTTAAATGCCCACGTGTTCAATATGTAATAAACCTCAAGTTTTTAACCTCAAGAAAAACAAAAAGTAATTACATCAATGTTTATTTTCATAATGAAACTTCCAGAATGTTAAGGACACCGGAGTCAGTGACCACACTGTTCACCAATGTATTCCCATTGCTCAGCCCAAATCCTGTACGAAGGTCAATCAGTAAGATAAAACTGTTTTCTAAACAACTATGTGAACAAATACTGTCATTCTTACCTAGTGAGGCCAGGTTCTGGAAGGTTTCCAGCATCACATCTCTGTAAAGGTCCTTCTGAATAAGATCCAGCAAAGCCCACTCCTCTTCAGTAAAGTATACAGCCACATCTTCAAAGGTCAGTAAGTCCTACAAGATGCCACAAATTTTGATGAAGTCACAAGTCTTCCAGTATGTGTAAGAGGATGGAGGATGGTGATAATACTAGGGACTGAGAAATACTTCAGAGGATATTGAGAAGATTCTATGGTCTCCAGTATCTACTCAGACTCAGCAACAATCTCTTTTCCTTCCTACCCCTACACATTACTTGACTGATAAAATCCTTTTCTTATAGCCTCAGTACTTCTAAAACATAAAATTTCTCTCTCAGCAGTTTATTGCTAACTAGAAAGGAAAAATCAAAATGGTTTCCCTACTCTCTTACACCAGTCATTTGATAGAATACAGAACACTTCTCACAACTGCTATGTGGGGGAATTTTCTCACACTCTGTTATGTTTTAGATCTAAAATGTCCCCCAGCCAGGCGTGGTGGCACACAGCTGTAATCCCAGCACTCAAGAGGCTGAGGCAGGAGGATCGCTATGAGTTCAAGACCAGCCTGGGCTACACAGTGAGTTCCAGGTCAGTCTCAACTACATAGTGAGATCCTGTCTCAAAAAACCAAAATAATAATAATAATAATTTTTTAAATAAAATAAAAAGATGACCCCCAAAAGAGTCATTTTCAGAGGTGAGGCCTGATCAGAAGGGATGGGTCCCTGGGCCATCACTTAGAATGGTATATTGTCATCCTCAGTTCCCAGGATCGCTATGTTCAAGACCAGCCTGGGCTACACAGTGAGTTCCAGGTCAGTCTCAACTACATAGTGAGATCCTGTCTCAAAAAACCAAAATAATAATAATAATAATTTTTTAAATAAAATAAAAAGATGACCCCCAAAAGAGTCATTTTCAGAGGTGAGGCCTGATCAGAAGGGATGGGTCCCTGGGCCATCACTTAGAATGGTATATTGTCATCCTCGGTTCCCACGTTCTGTCTGCTTTCTGGTCACCGTATAATGAACAGCTTTCCTCTGCCACACTGTTCTGTCACACTGTTTCTACCTTGGAGCCAACAATGCACTGAACCTGCTGAAACTGTGAGCCAAAATAAACCACTCTTCCTTTAAGTTGCAAATGTAGGGTATTTTGTCCCAGTAACAGGAAACTGATAAATGCATACACCATGTCTTCAGTGGCGACATGCGCTCTTTAATGCAATTGAATTCTTACAAAACATACCTAGAGATAGCACCATCCTATAGGCTGCAGGCTCAAAATTGCCCCAGATTTGAGAGGTCAATTGTTAGTAGGCTGTCACCTATACATTTGACTGACCAGCTATAAATCAAGGCCCCTGCTATCCCCTCCTTGAGTTCAGTTAATGTGTTGGGAGGGCAGGTAGAGCTCAAGGAAATAGTTAGTGTCTACTGGTTTGTTATAAATGTAGGTAACAGCCAAAGAGATGTCCAAGGGATGATATGGTAGGAAGGGCTCCATGCCCTATCATGGTACTACAATCCAAGAACCTCCATGTGTTCGACTAGACGGACACCTAGTGGAAGGGAAGTATTCTTTTGGAGAATTACTACCTTTCACTTACCTGCATCATATTTTTCTGTGACCCAGAAGCTCTTCTTGCTGCCTCCATGTCTCCTTTAAGAAGAAAAGCAGGATACTGAAAAATTTGAAGCAACCAGCAGCCAACATGGCAATCTAACCTCTCCAAAGTTTCCCCGCTCAGGACCTTGAATGCTACAGCACAACATTAGGAGTGATAACGCCCCTCAAAACACACACACACACACACACACACACACACTCCAAGATGCCCAAGAAAACACAAGCTGATCATGTATGAAAATGGAGCAAGCCACGTGTAATGGTGCATACCTGTCACCCCAGCACTGAGAAGTCCGAGGCAGGAGGATGGCCCCAAGTTTGAGGCCAGCCTGACTAAACAGTGAGTTCAAGATTAGCCTGAACTATATAGTGAGATGGTGTCTCAAAAAATAAAGAGAAAAGAAAAAAGATGGAGCAACCTTATCATCTCTTAGAGCTAGAAAACAGTGCTTCCATTCTTGCTGATCAAAAAGAATAAGTTAAAGACAGGCATGGGAGCACATACTCCCTATTTCAAATCCAAGGAATCTAATTTTTTCATACACTAGGCTTCTAGGAGCTTCACTCCCAGTATTTCTCACTTCTGGACCAATTTAGTGAAACCCTGTCTCAAAATTTAAAATAAATAGGGCTAGGGATGTAGCTCAGTAGAGCAAGCGCTCCAAGGGTCAATCCCTAGCACGGCGGTTGGGGGAGCTCGCTGAAAGGACTGAAAGAGAAGTCTTTTTAACATCCTATTTAATATGGGTGACAGATAAGATCAGTTTCCTCTGAAACTGAAATAAGTCAAGGACACAAATTACATACTATTCTCCATCCAACTGAAAGTCCTGGAAGGTGCAGTAGAGAAATTAAACACAGAAAAAATGTAAAGTGCATGAATTTAAAAAGACAAAGTTGAAACTGGGCGATTTTTCTGTGTAAAACTTGAGACTCTATAAATAAGTGACTAAAATGTATCGTTTGATTAAACATAAAAGGCACTTGGCAAGGAAGCGGGTTACACAGTATGTAAAATAAATCACTTCTCTTTTATGTATCCGAATACAGTGTGCCAAGCTGACGATCACAGACAGAAGAACATTGAGATTCACACTACGCAATGCACCGGGAGAGGCCAGGCGGGGACGGAGCTCACCCAGCGCGCAGAAATCCAGGGACCCGCGCAGCGGCAGCGACAGCGACGTGGAGATTCGCGTCCCCCGGCCCCAAAGCAGAGATGCTTTCCCTTTCTGCAAAGACAGAGCACAGGATGCATTTGGGGACTAAAGACGACAGCGGTTCTCTAATCCCAGCCCGCGGGAGAACCGCCCCCCGCGGGAAGGGCGTGAGCCGGGCTGACAAGGCTCGCAGAGGACCTCGCCGCAGAGAAGCCAGCAGGGTCCGCGAGGGGAGCGGACCACGGACCCCCGAGCCCAGCCCTCCGCTTCCAGGGCCTGGAGAATGGATAAGGCGGGGCCAGGACCAGTAGGTTACAAACTGAGGGAGAAATTTACTTAAGACGGGCACAGAGACACGAGGGGACATGGCCGCCGCCCAAGCCGGGTGACAAGACAGCGTCTCGCGCATGCGCAGAACCGTACTTCTGCTTCTGGCTCCTGTGACGTGAAGGGCGTAAGGGGCGGGGCCTTGAGAGCCGAGGGTTTGGGTATCCCTGGAAGATGGAGGGTGAAGGGTGACTGTCCACCGGGGAATGGGAAATGCTAGTTTTGGAAGGGGCTGGGAGTTGGTCCAAAGGATGTGGATTATTGTTAAACTGGAAGGAGTTGAGAGTAAGGAGAGAAAAAGCGGACGGATTAGTCTGGGTGTGACCAGGATACCAGTGGGATCTGATTGGCTCCGCCCGCCAAGCGGGACTGTGGCCAGTGGCGGCCTAGGGGCGTGGCTTCTCATTATTCCAAGGGATGGGGTTTAATATGTACCCAGGGTGAGGGGCGGGGACAAGGGAGGGGCGGGGCTTAATGAAGAAGACAAAGGGAGGGGTTAAAATTAGGAGTTCCCCAACTCCTCCTGGGCCAAAGAATACGTTATTCAATCAATTTAGATTGTTTTCAGTTTTTGTGAATAAAACTGCCATAAACATTCATACATGAGGGTTTTAGTAGTAAAATATATATATATAGCAAAAATTACCATTTTAACCATGTTTAAGTATACAGTTCTTGGCTATAAGTACATTCATACTGTACAACGATCACCCCCATCCACCTCCAGAACATTTTTGTATTCTCAAACTGAAACTTTGGTACCATTAAACACCGTCTCCATACCCCTAGCCTCTAACCCCCAGCGCCTACCATTTTACTTTAGGTCTTTATTAGACTCCTCCTCCTCATATAAAAGAAATTGTGCAGTATTTGTCCCTTTCCAACTGGCTTATTTCACTACGCATAATCTCTTCAAGGGAAGCTTACCACAGCCATCTGCAGAGTCAGTTGAGGAAGGATGTGAAGAGGCCATCTTGTGTGCTGGAGAGCTGGAGGATCCAGGCCAAAGTCTAACTCCTGGAGCTCTCTGCAGAATCTGGTGTGAGTCCATATTGGAAAGTTGGAAGGTGTGCATCAGAAGACTTCCTGTGCTGGAAGTCTGGGCGAACATCCGGGTATGACAAACACCGGAGCTGATCTGAAAAAAGCAAAAGGGTGGAGTCCTTTCTTTCCCTTTTTTCATTTCATCCAGGCTCTAAACCTGATAGTGAAACCCACATCCAGGGTGAGCCTCCCCACTTCAGTAAGTCCATCATCCAGACATAGCCAGAACTGTGCTAAACCAGCATTTCTTATTCAAGTTGACCTTGCAGTTATCTATGACAGCACAGTTTAACTCCATAAGAAACAACCAATGCGTGTTTCCAAGAGGCTGCAACATTTCATATTGCCTCTAGCAATGTATAACCCAAGTTGTTGTTAAGATCCAGACAGGCTGTTTTCTGGAGGAAAACCCCTTACATGTCTGCTGCTGGCTTCAGGAGAGGAAGTTTTGAGTGGGCAGCTCTCCTGGGAGGGGGTGTGCACCCCACATTTCTAAGGAAAGGATGTGGACTCTAACCATCAGGGGTGGTCCAGAAATCTAAGGGTGTGGGGCTCTGGATGTGCCACCACTGCCCAAATTGAGTTCTGGAGAAAGCTTGTCGACATCTCAAGGTTGTGCCCTGCAGGAACTTAGCATTGGAGAACCCACAAGAGCAAAATCCAAGGGAAATGCACTCCCTGGAGGTCTAGCAAGTGATAGGTCAGACTTGGGAAGGAAGCTTCTCACACCTTCTTTTGTCTTCCAGCACCTCACAACAGTAACTGATAAAGGAGAAATATTTAGAGGGCCCAGCTCCATTATCATAGCACAGGCAAAAAGTGCAACTTTGCAGCAGCGGTAATAAATCCATAACTAGGACAATGGTCAACATATAGTTTTGCCCTTGTTACATTTCATGACAGACCAGCACCTAACACCACCCAGTCTTGGTTCTTGGTACCCATTCTTCTCTTTGCCATTGGAAGCTGCTCTTCTTTTCCTCTTTGTCATATAGGCTGAAAAATATTGCTTGCTGCGGATCAGGTAGTTGTTGAGTTTTATATGCATTAGCTCAGTTATCATTAATTCAGCTGATTCTCATTCATTTCTTTTCTTTTCTTTCTTTCTTTTTTTTTTTTTCTTTTTTTTGAGACAGGATCTCGCTATGTAGTTGAGACTGACCTGGAACTCACTATGTAGCCCAGGCTGGTCTCCAACTCACAGTGATCCTCCTGCCTCAGCCTCCCGAGTGCTGGGATTACAGGTGTGCACCACCACGCCCGGCTCTCACTCATTTCTATAAAAGAAACATTGGCTTGCTTTTTTTTTTCTTTTTTTCAGTGCCGGGTGTGAAACCCAGTGTTTCACACATGCTAGACAAGCACTGTACCACTGAAATACAACTCAGCTACTAAATGGATTTTATTCAGGACAATTACAGTGGGAAAAAGATCTCAGTATAAAATCTGACTGGGTTCTGAATATAGCATGGGCAATGGAGAATTTATAGCCAAGGAATAGGGTGGTTGGTATTGAGGAGGGGGAGTCAGAAAGCAAAATTACTAAGAGAAACCATCATGAGTAAGAGGGAATTCGGGCTAAACCGATCTGGCAAAGGGCTTACTTTGGCAGAACCCAAAGAACTTGATATTACTAAGTTTACCTTTATTATCTGTCCAGGAATACATGTGGCAAGGCGTGGTGGCACACTGTAAATCCTAGCTCTTGGGAGGCTGAGGCAAGAGGATCGCCATGAGTGCAAGGCCTGCCTGGACTACAGAGTGACTTCAAGGCCAGCCTGAGCTGCTTAGTGAGACCTCGCCCTGTGGGCCAGAGTTGGACACCTCTGTTCTAGGTGCTTGAACGAATTATCTAGAGTGGCTTGGTGACTTTGGCTGATTCTTCCTAAGTTTCTCCAGCTTTAGCTGAAACAAAAAGAAAATACACATTGAAGGCTCCTTAAAGCAGGAGTTTACCCCTAAAAGCCTGCCTCATTTAGGGGTTATGTTGTGGTTTCCATTCACATGCCCCCGTAAGACCTCATGCACTCATTGGTGGGACTTTGGGGAGGTGATTGGATCGTGGAGATGTGATCCTCATAGGTAGATTAGCACATCGATGAGCTTATAATCAAATGTGATTTGGGAGGTGCAACCTGGTTGGAGTTGGTGAGTACCTGGGTCATGGCCCGGGAGGGTAAATCAACCCACTTCTCCCTTGATAGCACTCTGGCTGCTTCTCACTGCCATTCTATGAGCCGTTTCTCCTCTGCCGCGCCCCCTTGCTTTAGCGCTAGCGACTATGGACTGAAATCTCTACAAACTGTGAGCCAAAATAAACTTCTCCTCCTTTGCGCTGTGGGTGCCCACTATTGAGTCCCAGCAACGAGAAAGTAACTAAGGCAAACAGAATATTGGGCTGGAATGTCAACCATGTGCTCTAGAACCCTCTCCTTGTTCAAACAGACTTCATTCTCCAATTGTTTTAACAATATCAAGGGCACTTACATATGGAGGATTGGGGAGAGGGGTTCTGGCTAAACTGACCTAGGAAGGAGTACAAAGAGGTGTGTAAATGAGCCCAAAGGAGATTCAAAAATCTAATGTTCAAGCAGTCAAAGAGTCTTTGTCAATAGGAGGACAGGACTCAAACCGATACCTTAAAGGGGTCTGCATGTTCTTGTCTGTATGCTATTTTTTATTCCTTTTCTTTTATTTTTGTGGTGCTTGCTAGGCAAGTGCTCTATCCCTGAGTTACATTCCAAACCTTTTAGATGCTAATATTTATTTAGCGATCCTGGGAACTAAGCCCAGTACCTTCTCACTGACCTACATTCCAACCCCTTCTAAATTTCTATTCTCAGACAAGATCTTGTTCAGGCACTAAATTGCCCAGGTGAGGCTCAATCTTGAGATCCTCCTGCCTTGGCCTTCTAGAGTGCTGAGATTATAGGCTTGCGCCACAAAGTCCAGTTTGGATGCTAATTTTGGGACCTTTCCCAAGTGAAAACGGTCCACTACTTTCTCTGGGTAAGAAATGAGCAAATATCATATTATTGCTCTCCTGGGAAAGCCAAGCCGTGTCTCCGAGACAGGCAGTCACTTCCCTGCTCAGGGATGTAAGGAACTGGAAGACGCACGTACACCCCCGCCATACCCGAGACCACACCCCTTCCGCAGACCTGGCGTTTACGCATGCGCAGTTTACGTGCGTTTGATTGCGCGTGCGCAGGCCGGCAGCCATCTTAGTTCGGCGCTCCCTCTGGTGTCTGAGGTAAACTTTCCTGTCTCCGCGTTTGTCGCTGTGCGAGAGCGACCTGGCTGGAGAGGAAGGGTGGAAAGGGGAGGTGCCGGGTGCCGAGCTCTCGCGTGGGCGCTCGGGAGCTGCAGTTCCTATTCCAAGAGCCACGGCCAAATCCGCCCGCCCGGACACAGCGACTTCCGTGGGCTCAAGTCCCGGGAGGAGCGCGGCCGCGCCCCCGTTGCAACCCTGGCGCCAGTTTAACCCGAAGGAAAAGCGTCCGTGTCGCGGTATGTGCAGCCCTCACGTCCTCCTGCCCTCACCGACCCGGTATCCGTGTCCCGGTGAGTACTTGGACTCGTTCTGGCTGTGCGGTGTCAGTTCCTGAAGTTTAAGTTGTATTAGTACGGGAAGAGAGCTCTTCGGGTTATCAGGGGGCACGTGGTTCTGAGAATTAAATGTGTCACAGCCGGGCGCGGTGGCACTCTCCTGACATCCCAGCGCTCAGGAGGTTGAGACTGGAGGATCGCCGCGAGTTCGAGGCCAGCCTGAACTAAATAGCTAAACCCTGCCTCTCTCTGTCTCTCTCTCTCTCTCTCTCTCTCTCTCTCTCACACACACACACACACACACACACACACGCACAGAGGTATTAATAAATGTGTGTCCAAATACAAAATTTACCACCAAGTAAAAAGCGGAACTCCTGAGCTCTGTTGTCAAATCATCGTATGACTCCATTTAGGGCCCGATAAATCTCAAGCTTTAAAATGGGGCAGCCTCCAAGGAAACGATGCAGGCTTTTTCTATTAGTAGCAGAATTGAGGTAGCTTCCCATAAGCAAGGTGAATTTGCACAGGTGGATTTTTTCATCCAGGTGTTTTAGGTTTTTTATTCCCCCTCCTCTCTTCATTGTCCTCCCTCCGTCGGATCTCCTCCCTCACGTTTTCTTTTTTTCTTTTCATGTTTGGTACACAGTGATTACATTTGTGGCGCGTAGTTGATACAGGTACATGACGCAGCCTAACTCTTTTTACACTCCTCCCACTCTGAGTCTCTGTGCTTTTCCTTGTTTCTTTTATCAGTCTTTTGTTTTGCTCTTTATTTCTACTTTGGACTTCTTTTGAGAAACCATATGATATTGAAGCTTGTGTGTCTGATTTTACTTAACGTTTTTAAGGTCCATCCATTTTCCTACAAATGTCTCAAATTTATCCTTTTTTATAGCCAAGTAGTATTTTTAAATGTAGATACATTTTCTTTATCCATTCGTCTGTTGATGGACATATAGTCTGCTTCCAGGATTTGCTGTTATGAATTGTTCCCTTATTTAAAGTATGTGTTTAGTTTTCTGTTTGTTTGAGATAAGGTTAGCCTCAAATTCGAGGTCCTCCTACTTCCCTAGTACTGGGGTTGCAAATAGGCACCATCACACCTGGCTCCAATTTTAAATTTTTAGGGGAGAGAAAAATGTTCAAGATGTGATACGTATATGCACTACTTCCCCAAGATGAATGTAGATATGTATCACAAACATACTAATTCGCTTAGAAAAGAAAAAGTAGTTTCAATAAAGTTCACGTTTGTTAACCTTAGATTCACTGGTTAAGATTCATTCTATTGGTTTTTCTACATGTACCCACTTGATCTTGCCATGTGCTAGCCCTTTAGTCTTATGAACGTGTACTTCCTAATAAGGATAATCTACCAAACAGAAAACAACAGATCTTTATTATCCCACACAAGCCCAAGAAAATCAGATTTCTTCTGTTGACCAAAGGTATCCAGGTATCTCTTATAATTGTTAGGTTTTTTTGGAAATAGGATCCAAACAAGATTTGCACATTGTTTCTTGTTCTATTTGCATTCCTGAAGATAGAATCGTTTTGGGCAATTGACCTCCCTAGCACTGAGCTACATCCCTAGCCCTGCGTTTTGTTTAGATCTCTCTTCCCTAATCTGTGTTACTTAGATCATTCACTTGAATTTTTTTAATATAATTTTGATTCCTTAGGATTTTAAGAACATTCCCTTTTTAGATACTAGCATTCTAATGTGATAGTGTTCCCATAGTTTTCATTCATCAATTGCCTCTGTCTCTTGTAGATGCTGGGTTTTGAGCAATACTGGCTTATACAAATAGAATGCATAACACAGATGTACTTTTAAAAATTTTAGAGGCTGTCTTAATTTTTTAAATTTTAGTAGTTAACTTTTTTCATTGCTGAGACGAAATACCCAATGCCCAAAGTTAAAGGAAAGAAACGTTTATTTCAGTTCACAGTTTATAGAGGTTTCAGTCCATAGTCAGTTGACTTCAAGGACCTGAGGCATGTCAGAGGGATACCACAGAAGAGAAACAAGCGATGGCATGGAGGCAGAAGGCAGCAAAGTAGCAACAAACCTGCCTTTCCTCTCTCCCTTTATATTCCATACAGGCTCCAAGCCTGTTGATTGGTGCCACCCATACCCAGGATGGGGGGTTCCTTTATACCTCCCTTTAATCTGAGGATCACACCCTTAATCTACATTCACACCCCCTAACAGCCACCTTTGAAACCCCTCACCTATGGCTTCAAAGGGCTTTAGGGGGCCATCTAGATACAAGCCATAATAGTAGCCAAATTAGAAAACAGTAAAATACACATGAAACTTGAATAGGGGAGTAGGAAATTGAACCTAGGTGTGCTCTACCACTGAACTCCATGCCCAGCCCTATTTATTTTGCAATACTAGGGACTGAACCTAGGGCCTTGACACTGAACTACATCTCCATCACTTTTTTTTTTTGGTACCCAGGATCAAACTTGGGTCCTTGCGCTTGCAAGGCAGGCAGCAGCACCACTGACTTAAATCCCTGGCCCTCTCCATCACTTTTTGAAACATGGTCTTCCCAAGTTGTTTAGTTGCACAGGTGGGACTTGAACTTAAAATTCTTCTGCCTCAGCCTCCCGCAATGCTGGGATTACAGGAATGCGCCACAGTGCCCAACTGCATGTGAAATCATTTTAATACTATACCTTATTTAACCAGCACACCAGTTATCAATGTAGAATTTTAATGAACTTGATGACTAATGTAGCCAATATAAAATTATTAGTGTAGGACCGGGGTAGTGTAGGACCGGGGATTTAGCTTGGTGGTTCTGGCGCCTGCCTGCCTCACAAGCGCAAGGGCCCGTGTTCAAGCCCCAGTACAAATTAATTAATTAATTTTTATGTTTACAAAAATGTCTTACTAATATATATATATTTTTCTATAATGTTTCTTTTGTACTAAGTCTTTTTGGATTCTGTGCATATTTTATCCTTAACAGCACATCTCAAAGTGGACTCCCCCTACCCAGTGAGAGTGCTTTAGATTGAACTCAGGCCTAACAGGAGTTAGGCAAGCACTCTGCAATTGAGCTACACCCCCAGGGAATGCTACATTTTCATTGAAATTCTTGATCTGTAATTAGATTATAAAATTTATTATTGAAAAAGATTTAAAGACTTACCCTGAGACGAGATTGTTCAGTCCATCTCTCTTTCCTCCTGTCGCTTGCCCCTTTGCCCCAGTTTAGTCCCCTGAGACTCTGGCCTGTGGTTCCTTCAGGGTCCATCCCCAGGAGACAAAAGCCCAAGTATGGACAGTCTAGCTCAACTCACCTTTGCTCCTAGCAGATGCCACTTCTACTCCTCCCCCACCCTCCTAAGTTTCATTCATGTGGCACCCCCTGATCAGGGATCCTCATGGGGCAGGCTGGGCTGTGGAAACTAGAGTGAGTGTAACACAGAGGCTGCCTCCTACCTACTTCCCCTAAAAGCTCTTGTGCATTTCACAGTGGCTTGGTTTCCAAATCTGCGGTGGAAGCGGAGCCCATGAACCAAGGAGCATTTTCCTGTTAAATATCTTAAACTCAGGTCATGCACTGTCATGGAACTTGGTTTTGACTGGTCCTGAGGGCAGTGGTGGCTGTGGTGAGTGCCCAGCTGCAACATCTCCCTTGAAAGTTTTTGTGCATTTCACAGAATGGCTTCATCTTCACATCTGTGCTGGGAGCAACCCCTGGGTTTGGGGAAGGCTTCACTTCTTACTTTAGCTTCCTCTTTTTCTGCACTTCACCTGTTTGCAGTCCTCTTCAAATTGTATTGCAATGGTTGGTGTCCCTACCACCACCTCCTGTAGCCTTTATTAGTGTACCTTAGTGCATGTTTTGGAGCAGTCTGTGAGTACTGCTTCCTTTATGCCATCTTGATCTGGGTCCTGTAGTTAGGTTTCTTGTTGGCTTTCATGCAGTTTGGATAGAAAGCCTAGAAGGAAGACAAAGATAATAGGGGCAAAATGGGATTGTTACCCATTTCTTCAATATTATATGGTAACTTTTCCATTCAATTTTATCAAGAATTTTTGAGTATTTGTCCTATGCCAAGAAATACTTAACTGCTCTAGCCCTCAGGGCCTATAGGTAGGCCTATAGTTTAACACACATTTTCTCAGTTTCTGCTCCATTGGCATCACAGGCCAGGTAATTCCCTGTGGTAAGGACTATCTTCTGCATTATGAAATATTTAGCAACATCCCAGGTCTCTACCCGCTAGATTCCAGGCACACTTTCCCCTCCCCAATTATGACTATCAAAAAATGTCTCCAGATGTTGTCAGCTGTTCCTTGGGAGAGGAGCAAAATTACTCATTTCAGAATCACTGGTTTGAAACAGTTCATCATGCTATAGATGTTCATCCGGATTCTGTGCTGTTGTAGGTATTAAGTTACTTATATTTATTTTTTATTTTGTAAAAGCCATTTGAAAGTGCACTGAAGTGATTTTTATTCTGTTTCATAATTCTTAAAAAACACGTTTCGGAAGCCTAGAGGAAAATTATAAATAGTATCCATGTGAGTGTATATGAGCCCCCTACACACACCCCAGTACTGGGGATCTAACTAAGGACCATGTGCTTGCAAGGCAGGTGCAGTGCCACTGAGCTAAATCTCTGGTCCATGTAGGAGCATTTCTGTAATTGTCATTATCTTACCAAAAAGAAAAATATGGAACCATTGAACTTGCAAGCCAGGGAAAGAACATTGAGATCCCCCTGAGGATTGTTTTCAATTAACTCCTGACCTGTAGATTAAGTTTCTTGAGCCCATGAAAGTTTTAGGGGTAATAAAATTGAGATTTTTAAATATATAGAGTATAAGATTTTTTATAAATTGGTTTTAAAATGAAGCCTAAACAAAAATGGATTTGACTTACTGCTCTTCATCACCTGCCTTTTCCCTTTTCCTCTTCCTGTATTTGAAGTGATTGCTCACCTATGCAATAGCTTTTTTGTTGTTTGCTTGTTTTGGTATTGGGGATCAAACTTGCGACCTTGCACTTTCAACCTTGCACTTACAAGGCAGGCAGCAGAACCACTGAGCTAAAACCCCATCCCTTCACCTATACAATAAGATACTTAGAGAAGGTTGTTACTTTATAAAGATACATTGCAGTTATATACCAGAAAATTTCCATAATTATACAAAATGACAGTGACTCCAGCAATGGAGAGCCCTGTGGTTGTAGAGAGAGTATGCAGTTGGTGAAGCAGTAAGTGGTGGCCATGTTTGGGCAAATTTATTCACCCCTCTAATATTAGTTATCTCCATTATCAGAGTGAGATGTATATTCCTTCCTAATTTAGGTTTTTATCATGAAAGATGTTGAATTTAGCTATATGCTTTTTTGCATTAATGAAATATGATCATAAGGTTTTTGTTCTTAATTCTTTTAATGTGTTTCACATTTGCATATCTGCATATTTTGAACCATCTCTGCATCCTAGGAATAAATCCCATCATGGTATATAATCCTTTTAATGTATTGTTGAATTTGGCTTGCTAATATATTTTTGAGTATTTTTACATGTATGTTTTGAGGAATATTAGCCTGTCATTTTTTTGTCTTGTAGCAACTACTTTAGTTTTGTATCAGAGTAATGTCTGCCTCATTAAGTAATTTGAAAGTGTTGTATCTTTTGCAGTTTTTTGAAAGCGTTTAAGAAGATATGGATCCGGGGATTTAGCTCAGTGGTTCCACCACCTGCCTCACAAGCGCAATAACCCAAGTTCGATCCCCAGTACCAAAAAAATAAAATAAGGTATAAAAGGTGTTAATTTTTAAATGTTTGATGGAATTCTGGTTTTCACTTTTATTTGTTGGGGGAGGAGAGTTGATTTTTTATTGAGTCTCCTTACTAATAAGCTTTAGGTATGTTCAAATTTGTATTTTCTCATAGGTCTGTCTTGGCAAGTTTTGTTTTTAAGAATTTGCTTGCCTCATTTTGGTTATACAGCTTGTCATATAATTATTCATAATACTTTATGATTTCTTTGTATTTCTGTGATATAAGCTGTAATGTCTTTTTATTTTAAAATGTGTTCAGGCCCGGGATTGAGCTCAGTGGTTCTTCCGCCTGCCCCACATGCACAAGGACCTGAGTTCGATCCCCGATGCCTAAAATAAAATTTATTTATTTGCTTAGTTATTGTGGTACCAGGGATTGAATCCAGAGCCAACTACCACTGAGCTACATCCCCACTCCTTTATTTTTTTTTCTTTTTATTGAGTTTATTGGTACCATCTAGGTATACAGTACAGTTACATTCATTATTGGGATCCTGTACCTTTATATGATGTATCTTGGTTCTCATTTTTTCCCCTTGTCCCTGCCCTCCCTTCACCCCCTCCTCCCCTCCCCATTTACAAACACTTTATCTCTATTTTTTCAATTTCTCATAATTTTTTCCTCTCCCTTATTACCTTTCCCCCACCCTTCCCACTTTCCCTACACCTTTAGCCCTGTACTTCCTATTTCACATTATTAATTATCTCATTAGGATCCTGTGTACTATTATAGTTTTTCACACCAGAGAAAATATTCAGTATTTCAGTTAAAGAAATCTCTGTACAAACCTTAAAAATAGGGAATCCTAACATAAAACTAAAAAGGAAAGTAAAAGAGAAAAGGCAGTGATGTAAGATTAAAATAACCCTTAATTCTGAAGATGAAAATGGTCCCTGAACATATTTAAATTGCCTCTTGCTCTTGTAGTCTTATCTTCTTTTTTTTTTTTTTTCATTATTTAAGGAATACTTTGTTAGTTTCTGTAATCAAACCCACGTAGATATAACCTCCCACTCCTTTATTTTTTGAGACAGGGTCTCACTGAGTTGTCCAGGCTGGCCCTAAACTATTGGTGCTTCTCTCTTGGCCTCCTGAGTAGCTGAAGTTATGGGCATGCACCATGGTGCCTGGCTTTTTGTTTGTTTGTTTTTAGTTTTTTTAAGATGGGGTTTCACTGTAATTCAGCTGGTCTTGAACTCATTATGTTAGCCCAGGCTGGCATTGAATTCTCAGCAATCCTTCTGCCTCAGCTTCCTGAATGGATTCATTTTTTTAATTTATTTTTATTTTATTTTGAGTCTCCTTTTCTCAAACTGGCTAAAGTTTTCTTAGTTTTATCTTTTCCAATGACTGGGTTAGTTTCATTGATCTTTTCTCATTTTGTTTTATTTATTTCTGCTTTGAACCTTGATACTTTCTTCTAACTTTGGGGTTTGGCTCTTCTTTTTTAGTTCCAAGATAAGTAACGTTAACTTGGTTGTTTGAGATCTTTTTTGACTTGGGTGTTTATTACTGCAAACATTCCTCTTAGAACTGCTTTTGCTGCATTTCATGAGTTTAGATGTGTTGTATTTCCATTTTCATTTTTCTCAAGATTTTAAATTTTTTTTGTTTTGTTGGTTTTTTGAAAAGCGTGTTTAGTTTCAACATAGTTGTGATTTTTCCTGCTTAGCTCCTGTTATCGCTTTCTAATTTCATACCGTTTTTGGCAAAGATATTTTACATTATTTCAGTTTGGCTTATTTTATGGCCTAATCTAAGATCTGTCCTGTAGCATGTTCCATTTGCATCTGAGAAAAATGTGTATTATTATACTCTTGGATGAAATATTCTGTGCATGTTAGTCTTATTTTGTGTACAGTGTTGTTCAAGTCCACAGGTTATTCTTTTAATTGCTTTTCTGTCTGGACGATCTGTTCATAAAAGAGGATTATTAAAGTCTACTACTACTATTTTTCCCTTTAGATTGGTTAGTATTTGCTGTTATTTATTAGGTACTTTCTCAATATATAGGAGCATATATATTTTTAACTTTTAAATTTTCTTGATGAATTGACCTTTTTACTGTTACATAGTGAACTTCATCTCTCATGACAGACTCAAGAGTCTTTTTGTCTAATGTTAAAATAGTCACTTCTTTTTTGATTAGCATTTATGTGGAAACTTTTTCCAGCTTTTCACTTTCAGACTGTGAGTGCCCTTAAAACTCAAGTGAGTGTCTTTTAAGTGGCATATAGTTGGATCTTGATGGAAGGGTAGTTTTGTTTTTCTATTCAGCTGCTTTGTCTTTTAGTCAAGAAAAAGAAATTTAACTCATATGATATAATTACTGATTGATGGGGACTTAACTTTTGGTTGGGGGTTGAGACAGGGTCTCACTAGGTAGTTGAGACTGATCTGGAACTCACTATGTAGCCCAGGCTGTCTCAAACTCACAGCAATGCTCCTGCCTCAGCCTCCCGAGTGCTGGGCTTACAGGATTGTGCCACCATGCCCAGCTGATGGGGACTTAACTATTGATGGATGATTCATTCGTTGTTTTCTGCTTTGTGGTACCTTTGTTTTTATCTTCCTCGTTTTCTTCCTTTGTAATATGATAACTCTTAGGAGTGTTTTTTACTCTTATTCTTTTCTCTGTATATTTTGTGGCTGTACTATAAATTACATTTGTGATACCAAGAAGTTTACATTTATAAGTTTAAGGTGATAATAGCTTAACTTTGATTGCATACATAAAACTCACTTTCTTATTTGCCCACACAAAACCGTTCTTTATTGATGTTCTTGCTTATGACTTTACATTTTGTACCTATTGACAAATTAATGTAGTGATTTCTAATTGTACTTAAAATTTTGCACTAGAGTTAAATGATTTATGTACCACCAAAACAGTATTATTCTGTGTTTAATGGTACACTTATCTTTATCTGTGAGTTTTATACTTTCATACATTTTAATGCTTCATATTGGTATCCTTTCATTTCAGCTTGAATTTTTTAGCATTTCTTATAAAGCATATCTAATGGTGATGAACTCTTAATTTCTTCTGTTTGTCTGAGGAAGTCCTTGTCACTTTTGTTTCTGGAGGAAGACTTCATCAAATATAGTATTTCTGGTTGGCAATTTTTTATTTCAGCATTTCGAATGTACCCTTCCACACTCTCGTGTCCTATTGGATTTTTCCTGAGAAATCTGCTACCATTTTTATGGAGTTTTCAGTCTATATGGTGAGTTGCTTTTGCCTCTTTCAAAATTATCCTTTGATTTGACAATTTGATTATAACATATCTTGGTGTAAATTTCTGTATAATCTAGTAGAGAAGATATCAAATCTTCAAAGAGATTTATAATTTCAAATTGATGGTGAATCTGAAAGTCAAACAGAGGATGGTATTAGGAGAAAATACCTAAAATGATTCTCTTTTTTATGGAAGGGGACAAAACATCCCTGAAAGGATCACATCAAGGCTATGACATTTAAACCAGGATCAAAAATATAAAGATTAGGAATTAGCCAGATGAGAATTAAGAAAGGTAGCATGGTACAGGAAGTGTTTCACATAGAACCAGTATCATGGCTCTTTTAATTAATTTGGTACAGTTTGATACTAGGTCATTTACTGAAATAGGTGAAAGCATTGAGTGAGGAAATAAATTTTGATAGAATTGATAGTAAAAAATGTTATTTCAGTAAAGTGATATAAACTAAATAGAAAAAAGAAAACAAAAAAATTATAGTGCTTTAATTTCATGAATAGAAAATTATTCAAATTCGACTCAGGCTAAACATTTAAAAACTAAGTTTCAGATTTTGAAGCATTTCAGATTTTCAAATTAGGGATAGTCAACCTATATCTGCTAAATTTGGACATATGAATATATTCTTTAATACAACCATGTAAAAGAATAAAATAGTCCATTATGAAACTCAACTCCAGTGTCTGTCAATATTAGAATATTTATATTGTGGTGTAATTTTCAGTTAAGAACTATAGATACATGCAAAATATGGCTAAATTTCATAATGTTGAATAAAAGATGCTAGACACAGATTAATCCATACCATATGATTCATTTAAATAGGCAAAAATTAAGAAATTAGAATAGTGCTTCCATTTGGCCATAAGAGTGGAGTTTTGGTTTAGGTTGGCATAATAATGCATCAGGATATAGAAATTCCTGTTAACGTACCATACATTTATAATTCCTTTTTGTATATGTAATTCAATAAAGTGCTTTAAAAATGAAGTCAGCTGTTATTTACAAATGTAGGAAAGAGATCAACAGATTAAACATAAGTAAAAAGGCATAAAAATAGATGCAGAATTTAATGGGAAAAAAACTGATCAATAAACCATAGAGGCAAGTTTTTTAGAAAAAATATAAAATAGACAAACGTTGAGTATTTCAGCACTCCACCCATTCTATACATTTTATGACTTCTGCTAGGACTTGAAGGAGACGGTCAGATCTCTGACTTTTCTAAGCTGATACTTGTTCAAGTAGAACAACACTGGATGTATAGTGTGAGTTTATTTTGTGAAGCATAGTAGTACTATAATGCTGTATGAATATCACTTTTTAAAGTACACTAGATGTCTGTTTTCAAAAGTTTTCTGAAATGGTTATCTTCTTTATTATTACCTTGCCCAAAATTGGACTGAGTCTGTAAATATAAATTGGGAAGAGAGGAAACTATATTCTTTATCCATTCATCTCCTTGACTTTTTACCATAGCATGTATCACCAACTGATATGTATTTATTATTTGCTTAATTCTTTAGGATGTGAGATACCTAAGGTGTGGAGCATTTCCTGTAGAGTTGACTGCTCTCTCCTCGCTATCTGATGAGAGAAGGCCCTTCGTGAATATTTACAAAACTAATGAAGGCATAGCCAGAGGTAAGGCAACCTGGCCTATGTGACTTTGCCAGCTGGAGGAGCTCCAAAATATCTGAATTCAGAGAACCATATGTGTTAGGCATTCCCAAGATCCTTGTGTTCAGTGATTCACTAGAACTAGGATTTATAGAACTTAAAACATATTAAACCTACAGTTGTCACTTATTAACAGAAGGATGCAGATTAGCAACAGCATGGAAGGTACATAGAGTGACATCCGAAGAAACTACATCTCCATCTGGCCTATCCATTGTAGTCACAGACAGCTCTTAATTCTGCTAAAAACAGTATGTAATATCCATACAAATATTGCCAACTGGGGAAGCTCACCTGAGTTTTTGAGTCAAAGGGTTTTACTGAGAGTCAGTCTTCTGAGGAATTCAGCACCTGTGTGAGTTTCTTCAACCCCTCAGGCCCCCCTCCCTGAAGTTCAAACTGAAATATCATTGCTCAAAACTTCAGACATTTAACATAAATTATATTGTTAAAATAAACTTTCCAATAAAGCTAGTACAGTGTGGTCAAGACCTCAGACATAGGAGACACACTTATCAGGCAAGGTATTCTGTGGTCTCAGATAATCTCTCACAGATTGAACCATGCATCTATCCAAAAGACAGATCTTTCTCAGCATAGGATAGGGTTTGAGCAATCCAGGCCTGCAGAATTAACCTTTTCAGCACACCCTTCCATGACCATCTTCTGGTCATATTAGAGAATAACAACAATCTTAGGATTTTGAGGCAGAACAACCTTTGTTCAAGTACTGGCTTGTCCCTTCCTAAGTGGTAATATTGGTCCAGTTACTATTCCTATCTTAGTTTAGGTTTCCTGAAGTATTAAATGACAGTAATAAAAACTGCTTTATTGGGCCAGGGATTTAGCTCAGTGGTGCTCCCACCTGCCTTGAAAGCACAGGGTCCCTAGTTCAATCCCCAGTATCCCAAAAAAACTGCTTTATTAATCATATGAACTTATCCTATCACTGTTTCTGGCACATAACTGGCAATTGTTACTTATATCTGTGTGTTGTAGTATACTAGTTTCTGAGAGCATTTGCATCAATACCTCCATCTTCTGCAGAGAATTGGCTAATGAATAAAAGATGAGCAGTACCCATTGCTGCAAAACTATCATTTCTGCTTAGTCAAGAGAAACAGTTTTACCTATCAGATGAGTTCAGACGCTGTCTTGATGGCCTGTGCACAGCTTGTCTTGTGATCAGAGGTTAGGGTCCATGCATTCCTGCTACTGAGTAGGAGGGATCTGAAGTAGATATGAATATCCTATTGTCTAAATCCTCGGATTTGGAAAGAAAGCATAAGTATTTATATTCTTTTGTGGGAAAGGCTCTGCTTTGTCACCTAAGTCTCATCTCTTTTGGTTTGTGGGGGTACCAGGGATCAAACTCAGGACCTTGCGCTTGCTGGGCAGGCACTGTGCCACTGAGCTCTATCCCCAGCCCAGTCTCATCTTTTTTGGTTTGGTTTGGTTTGGGTTTGTTTGGGTTTTTGGCACCTGGGATCGAACTCAGGACCTTGTGCTTTTGAGGCAGGTGGCGGCACCACTGAGTTAAATCCCCAGCTCCAGACTCATCATTTTTAACAGAAGAAAGAAATTATTAATCTCTCTACATTCTCATTTCTTTATAAAAATGAATTTATTAAAACTTTATAGTCATGGCTACTCAAAGCTTTAAGCAAATTCAAAATGAAAAGCCCTATGAATGGAAAGAAAGGCTTTACTCAGTCTTTACGGCTTACTCAACATCTAAAAACTGGCAGTGGACTGATGTCTGTGGAGTTTAAGATGTTTGGGGAAACTTGCTTATTCTCCAGATTTTTGTTTGTTTTTTGGTACCAGGGATCAAACTCAGGACCTTGTGCTTTCAAGGCAGGAAGCAGAACCACTGAGCCAAATCCCAGGCGCTCTCTAGATTTTAATAAACATAGAAGACTTACTGCTGGAGAGGAATGCTATGTTTGTAAAGAATGTGGTAAAGGGTTTACTTGTTTCTCAAAGCTTAGCATTCACTTGCAAGTTGACATTGGGGACATGCCACATGAGAGTAAAACATGGAAAAGTTTTGTTTATTCTTCAGGTCTTATAAAACACAAGCATTCACACTAGAGAAAAGTGTTACCAGTGTAGGGAGTGTGGAAAAACCATTGCTAACTCATATCTCATTGTGTACATAGTAAAACCTATACTGGTGAGAGGCCTTATCCATGCAAAGAATGTAGGAAAGTCTTTAGTACTTCTCCTAGCTTTAAAAGTCACATGCAGACTCATGCCGGTTGTGCAAGGCATTGTGGTCTTTATACAACCCTCATTTCTTATTCAACATTTAACTCAGTGGAGAGAGACCTTTCACATGTGAAGGATATGGGAAAACCTTTAGACTATCCTCGTATCTTTGTGAACATAGAAGAATGCATAATGGAGAGAGGCTGCATAAATGTCAAAAATGTGAGCAAACCTTCACTGCTTCATCAGGCTGTAACAGTGCACGTAACAATTTCTTTTGGATGTCAGATAAATGACCTTTTGGACATCAGGAGTGTGGGATGGCCTTTACACAATCACACATCTTACAAGCATTCAGGAATTCATGGTAGGGCCGGGGATTTAGCTCAGTGGTTTTACATCTGCCTCTCATGCACAAGATCCTGAGTTTAATCCCTGGTACCAAAAAAAAAAAAAAAAAAAAAAAA